CTAGCACGGGGGCTTGTGACTCGGGGGCTTGTGAGGGTTGAGACGAGGAGGCACTCGAGTTGCGTGAGACCGTGTGAGACGAGACGGCATGGGAAGAGATGGTGTGCGAGGCATTGGAAGGGAGGAATCTGCGTGTCGCTCCCACGCCGCTGCTCTCCAGTACCTCCCTAGAGGGGAGAATCTCCCTGGGCGTGTGCAGCTCCGGGGGTCCCCTCACCCCCTCGGGAATGTCGCCTGGCGATTCTGATGATTCTGGCGATGCTGCTGGTGATGCTGGTGCTGGTGATGCTGGTGGTGGAGATGACGCTGGTGATGCCATTCCATCTCTTCTGTCCATTTCACATACGCTTACTCTCACTCTCACACTTGGTCTCTCCCTGTTCCCCTCTCTCCCCGCTTCTTCCTGCATTGCCCATTCTCGCTCAACCCTCTTGACTCCATAACCACCGTCGGATCCGGGCGAGGTGATCAGATCGCACGGTCGGGAGTGACTGAAAGGGGAGAGACAAACAGGGGAGTTGCAACGAGGAGAGACAGGGGAGTGACAAGGCAAGTCCCTTTCCTCTTTGCTGCTGCGTCTGCTGCCACGCCTCTTCTCACCCACCCTCTCCTCCCTTCCAACCGCACCTCCCTTATTCAGCCCCCCACTGCTGCTGCCACTGCAGCGACTGAATATACTGCTGTGACCCTCTCGTGTATTCTCCCCGGCCTGGCTGCTAAACCCCCGTCCCCAGTTGTCCCCTCCCCCTCCTGCCTCCAGCTCTCTTACTCCTGCTCCTCCCTCTCCGTCCGTCTGCTGTATCGCTGCACACGAAGCAACTCTCTGCTCCCCACCAGCGTGAGCCGAGCCAGCAGCAGCGGCAACGACGGGGGCAGCAGCCACCGTCGCGACTGCTGTAGTAGCAGTGCCGGCTGCAGCAGCAGCAGCAGCAGATGGTCGAGGTGGAGTGACAGCAGCACGTGCGGTGACAGGAAGTGGCATGGGCGAGGGCGTGGGCATGGGAGGGGGTGTGTGGAGTGGCATGACGACGCACAGCACACCGTTGGCTGCCCCCACGGCGTCTGTGCGCATGCACGCGTGCACCTGCACACACACCTCCCGCCCAGGCGACGATTGCTCGGGCAATCTCTGTCCAGTTGCCGCCTCGCCAGGTAACACCTTCCTCAGCAGCGCCTGCTCTTGCCTCGGAAGCACCTGCTGCCGTGCATCGCATTCTGTTTCGCGTTCTGTGTCGCATGCTGCGTCGCATTCTGTATCGCGTTGAGAGCGCGTGGCGAGCAGCATGGTCTGGCTGATGGGCTCTGGTCGCAGCATTGCGTCACGCAGCACGTCGCTCGCGTGCCTTGGGAATGGAGGCGAATGGGAGAGAGGACGAGGGAGAAAGGGAGAGGGAGACATATTGATGAAGGACTGCTCGAAAGAGGGGAGCGTCCATTACGAGGCAAGTTGGGGCGGAGATATGGGGAGGGAGCGGGGAGCGAGGGAGAATAGTAGATGATGGGAAAGAATTACGGCTCTGCTGACTTGGCTCGGCCCAGCAATTTGACCAACATATTCCCTGCTTTCACTCCCACCCTTCTCTCCCCCTCCCCCAATTCCCTCTTCTACCGTCTCCAGTTCCTCTCCCCACTCACTCGTGCACAGACCCCTTCGCGGGTCGCAGCAGCCTTCCCGGGAACCTCCCCATCTGCGCCACGTCATCCCGGCTCCAGCCTGTCAGCTTCGCCATTCGTCGGTTCCACATCACAAATGTCAGGTCCCTGCCGGGGATGGCGGCGGAGGGGCGAGATGGGAGGTGGGAGAGGGACACAAGGAGGCCCAGGGTAAGTTGGGAGCAAATACGCCTGTTGAAATCAAGAAACAGACAAAAGAGTGGAATAATGGTTTCTGAGGGGCTCTTCACATGCAATCGCTTGTTGCCTGACCTACTAACCTGTTCGTACCTACTGCAATCGCGCCTACACTCACCTATCCACGGCGAAGGCGGCGACAGGCAGTTCGTCGGCTGGGATCAGCGAATCAGGGCACCATCGGAATCGACGGTCGTCAGACGGCGACGCCATCTGCGGCCCGGCGAGCTCCAGCACGAAGTCTAGCGCTGCGCGCCGGTGCGCGCTACTATCCTCCTCCTCTTCTTCCACGTCGTCCCCCTGCCTGCTGCGCAATCCGCCGCCTTCTCCGCCGTCGCTTGCGAAACTATCCCCGCCGCTGCCATTGCTGCTGCTACTGCCACCGCTGCTGCTGAGGCGGGGACCGCGGGAGAAGCGGGAGCGTGCGGAAGCGAACTGAGCGGATTGCGCGGCGGATTTCGCGGATTAAGCTGCGGATGGTGAGACTCCCCGGGTGAACTGAGGGGAAGTGTTGACAGCAGCGGCAGCGGCGGCGGCAGCGACGGCGGCAGCGACGGCGGCAGTGGCGGGGTCTTAGATAGCTGCCGACGAGTGGCGACTACAGCGTCGTTTGCGGCGAGCGAGCATAAGAAGTCGGAGGAATTATCGACCCGGGTTGGCAAAAGCGCGGGAAAAACTGGCCACTGCTTCGGCTGCGTGAACGACGGAGGACGAGGGAGAATGAGACTGTTTGATTGACATGTCGACGTAGGGAAATGGCGAGGCGGGTCAATTTGCTGACGTGGAACGGTTTTTGGCTGACAAGGCATGCTAAGGAGGTCCGTCCATCCTTGTGAGCACGTAGAATTGTCTCCAAACGGAACGCTGTAATCGCGCCACGTGTCGTCCGGGCACCCTGGAGCCATGTCTTGCCACGTGTCGCGCATCCGCACACACGTCGAGGTTGAAGAGAACAGCTGTGATTGTGCCGGTTGATGGGAGAGCCACTTGGACATGTGACTTCAGTGAGCAACGGAAGGACTGAAGAGAGTCGTTCGTAACAAGCGAAGCCACACTGAGGTGAAGCGAATGGCATATGTTTCTATGAATAATTGGGTTCGTTTAGAGTCGTTTCCTGTGACTCTCTCGTTAAAACTAACATTGCGTCTGTACGACCGATATCTGAAGAAAACGTGGGAGAAGACAGAGGCTAGTAAAAGCTGTGACATACACAACAAGGTACGAAATCAAGAGGTTATACTGTATTACGGAATAAACCAGCGACCCAGGAGATACTTATGTGTGACGAGAACACGAAGGCCAATCCCTGAGCCAAGGATGTGCCGTTTTGACTTAGCTACTCGCTCGGGTTGTTCGATAGGTATTGAGGATTTAGTCATTCCCGACTTGATCAGCGAAAACACTAAAAAGAAGCTTGCCATGGCACATAGTTTCAAGCCTGCCTTGCCGCTTTTCTCCCACTGGGTTTGCTGCGGCAATCTCAAGGTTTCCCAGGCAGGCACCTACCCTAGACCCATTGCACCGATCTGTCATCTGCAAGTACAGTTCCATCTCTACACCATGGTGCACGCGAGGGTGAGCTTCCCAAAAGCGGGAAGGAGATGCTTTGGTGAGTTGGATATTTCTGAGCTGAACCGCGTTTGTCATGAACTACCTTCAGCCTTCAGTCGTCGCCAACCAATCAATGTGCTTTGTGCGAAACTGAGTTGTTGAAGCTGTCCAGAATAAGCGAAACCTTGCGAAAGTATCTGGTGCTCTCAAGGGTGCATCATTGTCCTAACACCGACCGTAGCTTCCCGCGGGCAGCGGGGGACCGGTGAATCACAGACGCGCTTCGCTCATTGTGTGGAGGGAGCGTGTTTCTGCTGACAGTCAGGCAGGCACCCCTTCCATCTGGGATTGGCCCGAATCGAATCGCTCGCCAAGCTGGAACGAATTGTACTGTTTAGCGAATAATATGTCTTTATGCGGGCAAAGATGTCACGGATACACGTCATCACGGGGTCATTTTCCAGCTAAAGGCAATGCTTGGAACGGAAAGTTCCGCAGTTCGGGATAGGAAGCACGTCACCACTTGTGCTGCCACATCATGGAACCGGAAAGGAGAATCACGCCAATGCCTGTTGGCATAGATATTTCGACAATTGAGTGAGGTGAGGAGGGGAGGGGAGGCTTTCGTCCACGTGACTGATCAATTGATGACAATCACGAACCTTCAAACCCCGACAAGCCTAAAACGGGTATACACCACATGTAAGCTGCACAGGTTATGGCATAACATAGGAACTCATGATTATGAACAGTACATCCAGCTTGTACATTCTTTTCAATGCTCTTGATTATCCCTGTGCATGTCCAGATTAACCTTGGATGTATACCTTTCTTATTCAAACTGCACACATCGATCATCTTCCCCCTTCCCCCCACCCAGGCGCATCTCGTCTTTGTTGTAGTGCTTGTACAATTCCTTCATTCACCAGTGTTGCTCATTTCAGTTGCACACCCACGCGTCTGGATTCAAACACAATTTAATGCATGCCTAGCCATACTCTGTGCAGTTTCATAGTTCCTTTCTGACAGCAGTTCCATTACTGCACTCGATCCCATTGAGTTAAACCCACCGTATGGAGTGATCCAACCGTTCCTCAATGTCGCGCGTTACGTTTACACACTACTAACCATGGTTAGAAAAGGTGGAAGGGAGTTGCTATGCCCGTATAATACAGAGTTCTCCATACCATAACACCATACCACAGCAGCACAAGACGAGTAAATAGAAACACGTGTTTTAAAAGGTACTGGGCATGCTCGAGGCAATCCCTTCAATTTTACTGACCCCTGTTCCCCACTCTCTCGGAACAGTATGGCTCTACCACCAAGCCTTTCAGGCTTGGCTTGGCAGAGCAGTCCGGGAGAGGGTTGGCATAAAAGGCTTCTTCTGACCGATGCCGATCCTTCTTCTTCACGCCTGGAAGCGGGGCCCTTCCTGTGCCGCGGCGCCCCCTGCCTGCAAGCGACAAGCAAGAGTGCATAAACAAAACGGTTGTGATGTGAGGCACACTGGGAGCAGCTTCTTCACGCCCGGACATCCCAGCTGTGCATGTGCATCATCATCATCACCATCCCACCTGTGCATGCCAACATCACCATCACCACCATCCCAGCTGGGCATGTGCATCATCATCATCATCATCATCATCATCATCATCATCATCATCATCATCATCCTCCTCCTCCTCCTCCTCCTCCTCCTCCTCCTCCTCCTCCTCCTCCTCCTCCTCCTCCTCCTCCTCCTCCTCCTCCTCCTCCTCTCCTCCTCCTCCTCCTCCTCCTCCTCCTCCTCCTCCTCCTCCTCCTCCTCCTCCTCCTCCTCCTCCTCCTCCTCCTCCTCCTCCTCCTCCTCCTCCTCCTCCTCCTCCTCCTCCTCCTCCTCCTCCTCCTCCTCCTCCTCCTCCTCCTCCTCCTCCTCCTCCTCCTCTCCTCCTCCTCCTCCTCCTCCTCCTCCTCCTCCTCCTCCTCCTCCTCCTCCTCCTCCTCCTCCTCCTCCTCCTCCTCCTCCTCCTCCTCCTCCTCCTCCTCCTCCTCCTCCTCCTCCTCCTCCATCATCATCATCATCATCATCATCATCACATCATCATCATCATCATCATCATCATCATCATCATCATCATCATCATCATCATCATCATCATCATCATCATCATCATCATCATCATCATCATCATCATCACCATCACCATCACAATCACCAGCTGTGCATGTGCATCATGATCACCACCACCATCACACCTGTGCATGTGCAGCAGGCACACGAGCTCAGAAAACGAAGGTCCCTCCTGTAGCTCGCCTCTGTCCAGCCGATCTATCAGTTGAACCAACCCCTTCTTGTCCGGGGAGATCGTCCTCTTGTGCCCCAGGAATCGCCTGTGCCCTTCAACAGCGCGGGCCATGTTGCCCGAGTAGGTGGCGAGGAACACGTCAGCCTGCACGGACACGAGGTAGTCCACTGCTGCCATGGCGTTCTGGTGTGCTGCCAGCGGTGCCAGCTCCTCTGCTGTTGCTAGAGTTTCCTGGAGCATGCAAGTGAAGGGTGTGAAGGGAGGGGAAAGGGGAAAGCTCGAAGCCACTCACTCAGCCTGCACCGATACAAGATAGTCCACTGCCGCCATGGCGTTCTGATGCGCTCCCAGCGGTGCTAACTCCTCTGCTGTTGCTAGAGTTTCCTGTAGTACGAGGGCAAAAGGGTGGGAGCGGAGGGAATGGGGTGGGGAGGGAGCGAAAGGGGTTTACTTGGGAGGAACATGCCAGCCTGCATGGACACCAGGTACACCACTGCTGCCATGGCGCTCTGATGTGCTGCTAGGGTGCTAGCTTCTCCGGGGTTGCTAGGGTCTCCCGAAGTATGGAGGGTGGGGAAGGAGAGAAATGGTTGGGGAGGGAGGGAAAGGGGTGGAGAGGGGTGGAACGAGGGGGAGGGACGAGGGAGGGGAAAAGGAGGTGTGGAGCAGTGGGGGGGACGAGAGGCCATCATCCAGTGACCTTAACTTTTGCTCCCAAGTGAATCAGCCTATCAAGGAGAATCAACATAAGAGGGATGAGCCAAGAGCCCTCCCGTCTCACCTTGCGCTCAATGAACGGGAATCTCGCCGTAGATCCTTCATCGTGTCCTCTCCACCGTAGATCTCTCCCGCAGCGATGTAGAGTCGCGTGTGGTTGGGGAAGCCCAGCGCTGAGAGCAGCACCCCCCCCTCACGGGGCGTCATGGGGCAGCTGCCCTGCGCTCTCTGCTCTGCTGCGTTGATGTCTTTCACTCGCCACTGCTTCGTGGCCCGCCTGGTTTAGTTTGAAAAGGGTGGATGGGTAAGTGTGCGGGGAGAAATGAGTTGATGCCCAGAGCTCTCTGCTCCGCTGCGTTGATGTCCTTCACCTGCCACTGCTTTTAGCACGCCTGGTGCAGGTGTACGGTGGACGCCTGGTGCAGGTGTACGGTGGACGCCTGGTGCAGGTGTACGGTGGACGCGCCGTGAATGGCAATGTCATTGATGCTCTTTCAGTTACCGTCACCCCCCACTGCTGCACGGCATGCCTGGCATGGGAGGCGTGTGAATAAGGTGAATGGTGACGCAAATACCACAACACACTCCCGTCTCCATCTCTCCCTATCATTCACCTACCCTTTCCTCCTCCTCTTTTCTCCACTCACCTCGTAGCAGTGAGCTCGTCCGCTTGCGCCTGAGAGAGCCCGTGGGCACCCACTGAACGCCAGCATGTCCTTCTCATACCGCACTGCACTCCCTCTCTTCCCATTTCCTCCCCTCCACAACTCCCCACTCACCCAGTGGCCGTGAGCTCGTCTGCTTGCGCCTGGGACAGCCCATGCGAGCACCCACTGAACGCCAGCATGTCCTTCTCATACCGCACTGCACTCTCTCACCTCACCTATCACCCGCCCACTTTCCCCCAGCACACCTTGTAGCTGTGAGCTCGTGTGCCTGCGCCTGGGATAGCCCGTGCGAGCACCCCGGTAAACGCCAGCATGTCCTTCTCGTAGCGCAGATGCAGAGCCACGTACGGCCCGCCTTCCTCACCCGCCGCACCAACTCCTGGTGTGCAGCAGGAGAGGAGAGGGACGGCGTGAGACTGGGAGATTGGCATCGAGTCAAAATCAGCCAGCATGTTGTTCGTTACGTAGACCCCGCCCTCCTCACCCCGCAGCACTCCTCACCCGCAGCACACTTCCTCACGACCGCTGAACCATACTCACCCCCGCACCAACTCCTCACCTGACTGCACTGTACCTCTCCAGCGCCAGTATCTGTGGAGCAAAGCACAGCGCCTCTAATTGC